TCTTGAGCGATCATTTAATTGTGGGTTCTCATTATCTATATTTTCCTCTCTTGCAGTACGCCTTGAAGAAAAATACCTTCTGAAGAAACGTCTCATCCTGATCACACTTTTTCGAATAGTTTCCATAATTGTAATGCTTATCTTTTATTTCTTGACCTTATTACTCCAAAATATTTGTTAAGAATCTAAATATATAATAAACTAACTTTATTTTGACGAACAAGCTTCTTATAAAAATTAATCAATTTAATTTTTGGTGTATCTTTAAAATAAATTAATTTTTCAACAAAGAGGCTAGACAATGGTAAAAAATGGCGTATGCATATCCACTACTCCAACCAAACCATTGTGATATTCTTATTTTACAGTCTTATTCAAAACTGTAATTAGTTTCATGTCCTATTAACTCATATTGATACTTCTGAAGAGTCCAAAATACTAAAAGACGCCACTTATGGGTCCGTTAAAAAACAAGGCAATTTTCGGGAAAAAAAACTATTGCAGTGATTGTTTCAAAAATCTTAACTATTCTTGTAGTTATCGAGTATCCACCAAGTGACGAAAAAAAAGTACCCCACTGCCTGCAGTGATTGTAACTTTCTCAGTGCCCGAAATAAAAAAAAAATTTATTAATTAAACTAGAAGATATTTCTCATACAATGACCCAGAATAAAAAAAATGAAACTAAAAAAAAAAATGGTGGAGTTGAAAAAAAAGTTATAAATTTTGCTAAAAAATATGATGAATTTCGGCCTGACAAAATTTAAATTTACATGCAATTGACAAAATTGAGAGTTATTGTATCGAGAAAAATGTACTGAAAAAAAAATACATACTTAAAATTTTATTATGGTATTCTTAGAAATATTAACTATCAGAAAATTAAAAAAAAATCAATTTTTTCAAAATTTCACATTATAGTGATGCTCCTTAAAGGGTTAAATTAACTTAGTCGAGTAATTACTTTAAATACCAACAAAATTATTAATTTTTCCTTAAATTCAATCATTAATCTGGAAAGTAATAATATGTGAGTATCATTATAATCATTTAAATAGAAAAATAATCGCATTTAAATTGATGGATGCTATATCATATGTATATATTTTAATTGTTATATACAATAATAATTATATCTGGATTCAAATATTGTTTTCTTTTTTCGTTTGTATGTACAATATTTATTACGTAGTTCCATGAAATATTCTTGCTTATTAAATTTAATGTTCTGAAAAGAAACTTTATACAGTTTTGTTATTTAATTGAACAACATTTTCCTATCACTGAAGTTTTATCGTGCTTTAAAAGGGGGTATTCTGGTCTAGAAATTTGAAAAATTCGAATTATTTTTTTTTGCATATTTGCAAAGTTTAGACCCTTAAAAATATGTCCTTGAGTGGATTTTTAAAAATCCGAATTATTTTCGGAGATACCGTGGATTTTGTGACGCAGCTGCTTCTGCTTCTGCTTCTTCAATAGAAGGCAGAACAGCTCGATTAGCAGAAAGAACTTCGCAAAACATCGAGTAGGAAGTAGAAGAAGGCTCAATTTACGGATCTGGGATTCGCGATTAATCCAAAGTGAATATTAAATATTATTATGAGTTATTTTACTGAAATCGTTTCTAAAACTTTAAACGCGATTTTCTCGAAACTACTTTTTTTAAAGTGATTGACATGATATCTTAAGTTCTACCCCACCGATTCCTTTGAAATTTAGTGGGAATTTGTTTTATATATCTCTCTATCGCGTCTGCTATGAATTTCAAAAAATTTCAATTTGGAGTATTTTTAAAAAATTCGAAAAGGTCAAAAAAAAGGGTAAAAAAATTGATATTTTATGTCGACGCCATTTTGGGAATTTTTTTTTTTTTTTTTTACTATAGTCAACGCGATAGCGACATCTTTACAGATTGAGAATATCTCAAATTTTTTTGTTTCATATCACTACAAGGGCTGGAATCATGTCAACCAGAGGGCACCGTTTTTTTTGTAGCCCCCACTTCACCGCCCTGTAATTTATCAAATTTATCATTTTTTTTTTTTTTTAATTTTTTTTATATTCTTGAAATGTCAATAAACATCATATAAAAAAACGGATTATAAAAATGATTTTCATTTTTTTTTTATGTTAGTTTGAAAAAAGCCTAAAATTTAGGCTTCTAGACCAGAATACCCCCTTAACTTGAATCAAATGAAATAAACTTAAATCAAGAAAAATTTCTTAATTTGAGAATTTTTCTACTCACATTAAAAAAATGAAGTTTTTCAAAATTATTTGCTTTTTTTTTTTCAGTCTATGTATNAATATTCTTGAAATGTCAATAAACATCATAAAAAAACGGATTATAAAAATGTTTTTCATTTTTTTTTATGTTAGTTTGAAAAATGCCTAAAATTTAGGCTTCTAGACCAGAATACCCCCTTAAATGAGTAAGATATTAAATTACCAAAGTATTGAGGTACAATTTTCAATCATTATATTTATCGTCGAAGATCGCTGAGCAATTAGTAAGAATAAATCATTGAAATAAAAACTTTCTGAATTAATTGTTTTCCATATCAATTCCTAATTGCGTTCATTTTCCGTCATTCATTTAAGTGAAACGTCGTAACTCTATTGTTCATTACTTAATTTGATATTTGATTTATTCTCAATACTTCTTAAACTACATTAATAAGTTCACAAAGTTATGTTGAATTAATTTTGTTTGAATCTATAGTAGATTCGAGAATGGCTGATTTTCGCGGGATCGGGGGCTTCTATATATTAAATTGTCTCTGTTATAGCTTGTCTTTCATATAGGTCAGATCATTTAGTTAACCTTGACCCACATGCACAAACTTCAGCTCTCCCGGAAAAAACGAACTGCATATATATATATAGTCATACACCAGAGTGATTTTTGAATTTCTGGAAAATTTTGATTCTATAATTATAGAATGGCGTTAATTCGTGTATGTTTCTATCATATTCTCAGTAAATTATTTACAATATAGATAAGTAGAAGCTTGTGTAAATGTAATTTCAATTCGCCCTTTATCTATCACATGATTCTGTTAACTTTGACCGCTGAGTTGAAAAATCACCAAATTTTTCAGAAGCACCGTGAGGACAAATACCGCAATGAGATTTATTCGAAACATGATATGACAATGGATAGAATAAATAGAGAATAAATTCAATATTCCTTTTTCTAAATTCTCTTACCTTAAGCTAGCTAATCTAGGTCGACATAAATTAATTATATAACGAGTATAATCAAAAAAATTGAATCCATACCTATATAGTAGTATTTTCAAATCTGAAGACAATACGTTTTCAGTATTGATATAGGTTAAAGAATTGGAATTTTATAATAGCTTCAACTTAATGATCAGGTTACTGTTTCTTTGGTTTTTGCGTTAGGATGATATCTCTAGAAAAAAGTTTTTTTTTTTAGACATTATTCCAATCATAAAGTGGATTGGAAAAACTATTTCTACATTCTAATCATCTAAAAAAATTAGTAAAGGGTGTGACCCTACAGGCCATCCTTGCAACTTCCCGCTAATTTTAAATGCAAAGCGCTGCAAATTTAAGCTGTTACGACGTTTTTGAGCTCTACGAGCTCAAACGTCTGGTTTGTATTTAATAAAGAGCTTTTTTCAAAATATTTAAGCTACAATAACTTTCGGACAAATGATCATTGACTTTCTTAGCGGAAAGTTAAAAATTACGTAAAAAAATATATCTACTTAAATTAAAATGGAGCGAAATGGTTATGATTGGTAAGAAAAAATATATCTACAATTAACCGGAAAGTAAAAAACTGATTTCCATACTTTTCTAAAAAAACATACAAAATAAGCTACTTATTAATCAATAAATAAATGAAAAAATAATGTCTTATTTATCTGAGTAGCTATGATTTCTTCAGGTATATCACTGATTTTTCCATGTTCTGGAAATCCGGTTGATAATTGGATAGCTTATGATGACTTTTAATTTCTTGTTGAGTTGCTGCAATTAAATTTGGGGTTGTGTGAATCTTCAAAAGTAGAATCTTCATTGTTGATACATCCTTTTGATTTTAACGTTTAAAATATTGTCCATAAAGTTTTTTTTTTTTTTTCAAACAAATTATCAATTTTCTTTTCACAATGAATTAAAGAATTAAAATCTTTTGAAACAATGAATAATGATTGTATGAAGTTATGATTATATTTTTTTATGAACAATATGATTTCATCGTCATGAGATTGATATGATACAACTGGCTTAAACATAATTGTATACAATAATTTAATACAACCTAACAATCTGTTGTTAGAAATAATTATAAATAAATGATAATTGATCGGCCATTACTTACTGTAAGTACATTAATTTGAAAAAGCAGAATTGGAACCTTGAGATAAATTGACTTGTTGATCGACTTTTTCAATCTTCTTCTTAAATTGTTTTTAAAACTTTTTAATTTTCTTCTACGCTATTTCAAGTTCCATAAAAATAAAAAATAATTATGGTATACTGAAGCTCAGAATATACGTACAAAATTATTAATCATACTTCATACTTGAAAACTCACTTGAAATATCTAACGACGCAGTCGCGGTATAATTAAATTAATTCATATCATATAGCAACACGAAAGAAACGTATTTTCGATTATTATTTGATTTAACAATACAATTATTCACATTTGATTATATATTTTCAGAGTCGGATCCTTTTTCGTAGCAGTGGTCATATTTTTTTCTCAATAATAAATATTAGTCGATAAATTTCTATAACTGAAACTAGAATGAAAGTATGACAAAAGTGCCTGAGTATAATAATTAAATCTCGTAATTCAGTCACTTACCTATTATTGTCTTTGGAATTTTTTAGTTCAGAATCGAAAATATTAAATATTAATTTTGATTTACCGAAATAATATCAGCACAAAAGTAAAGTTTTTAAATTATATATTATATATTATATCTAATAGACCTTGACAATATATGGTAAAATTACGATGATTTTGACCGAAAAATATGAAATTTTTTGGGTTCCCAGTTGATGATACGATAATATCGATTTATTGTTTTTTTTTTGCAATATTTTAAAAAACCTATTGTGGATGAAATATTTTCAATCAATTTAATGGATATAGTTATTTACAATAACAATTTCGTTTTTTAAATAATAGTTACATAGCTACCTGATATAGTTTGTTTTTTACGAGGAACAAATTCGTTATTTTCTGAAGAAGAACTTAAAATCGGCTTTTGATCATCGTTTGCCGAATTTTCATCAAATTCTGGACGTAGTGATAAAAAATAATAATTATAATCTTCATCTGATGCAATTTCTAATGAATTCAAAGTACTTTTGCTATTTGATGATGAAGGATGAAAATAATTATTTTTTGATGATGTTGAATTATTGAAATTTAGAGAAATCTCAGATGATGAATTATTAAATTTATTGTAATTCATTTCAACTAGATTTATAAACCTACAAATTGAATAAACAAACGAATTGTATAATATAATAAATTCGTTTTTAGTTTTATTCATTTATAAAAATAAATTTTTCTTTAATTATTCCATAATTTTTTTCAAATACTTATATTTTGATACGTGTATGTGAATATTATATAAGCATTGATACTTTAAAATTCAATCTCAGATCACATAGAAAAAAATAATCACGCAATCGAAAAAAAAAAAAACAAGTTTTTAACGAAATTCAAATTAAAAAAAAAAAAACAATTCTAATTTTTAAAAACAATTTTTTGTCAGGATAGAAAATTATAAAAAATAAAATTAAAAAAAAAAAAACTAAATTTTGGAAAAGATTTAAAATTTGCAGAAAAAATATTTTTCACGATCAGTATAAAAATTTTAAAAAATTCAAATTTTTACAGAAATTTAAAACGTTTTTTTTCATTTCAACTTTTAAAATCTCTAAGTATACATTTTATAATTTTTAAACGATAAACGAATATTTTTTTATTTTTATTATTATATTATTATATATTTAATAAAGAAAAAAAAACAAAATTCACTACACGAATTGAATTTTATCAATAATATAACTTATATCTGTCTCGGAGTGAATTCCACTTCCGGAGGAAGTAAATCAATTGAAAATCATCTACTCCGCATTCATGCTCGAATTACTTCGCAAATTTTTTACAGTGTATATTCTTCACTTGTTACTTATTTTTCTTAATACTTATGTAAATAGAATATGATTTCCTGATTTAATAATTTAAAAAAAAATCATTTACTTACAGTTTCTACTGACTGGATTTCGGCGCGGAAATTTTATGATTAAAACAGTAACTATAATAATTATAAATAAGATCATTGTGATAAAGATGTTGCACTACAAATAAACAAATATTAAAATAAAACTATTAATGTTCTTAAGGAGAAATCAACTAATATAATTTAATGACAAAATTTTAATTGATTGAATGTTATTTGTATCATTTGACTTGAATCGAGTTTCATTCTAGCTTTCGCTGCTGTCGCTTTCAAACTGTTGAGTTTTCCGTACTCATCTCTCATGATATATGAGTCTCATCTTCGTCAAAAATCAGTTATCTGCGCAACGTAGAAATAGCGCGCCGGCGTTGTATTCAATGCTACCTATTGTATAGCAGTTGTTTACGTACAAGTGAGACAGCAAAGAAAATGCGAATATTAAAAGGAGACAGCGTTTTGAAGTACCGCAAAAAGCATCACTGTAAAATCTTTTTCTTTCTTAATTAATCCATCCTTCGTTTGAAAAATAAAAAATAAAAATGCCGATTCGTTGGGTCATCATTAAAAAATAAATTTGTTAAAGTCTTCATTATAGATGGCAATTATTACACAAAGGAAGACTAAGCTCTTCCTCTTGATAATGAGCAAGTAAATCCACAGTAACGCTACATCGGCTTATATGATGATATTTATCAGATATATATAAACATATTAATTGCGAGCAAGGCCTTTAAGTAAACCGAAGGTACAGAATATTCGCTTATTATTACTCAACCAATTAATTTGTTTATTTTCCAAATAATGCAAATCAAAGTTATTTCAGGACTAATCAAACAGTATTTTGAATGAGAAAAGGAAAAGATTTGAGTATTGAAACTTTTGAAAAATAATTAAATACACTTATTAATTAATTAATTAAAATAGAAATAACGATTTTTATCTCTTAAATACTGATGATGATGATAAATGAAGTTAATAAAGGTTTTTTTTATTTAATTTTTATTATTTAAATATATATACCGTCTTGGAGCTGAAATTCTATTTAGTGAGGTTTTAGTTAAAATATTTATTAAGTGTACTAGCAATCGAATTACGTTGATGGCAACAAATGCTATATATGACAAAATAGAATTATTGAAGCCCCTTATTAGAGTTTGTAATGTAAGTGCTTGATGTAATATTTCACTTACACTATCTATTGAAGAAATTTTAAGTTTGTTTGATACCACTTATTAAAAACTTAATACAATAACAAACAATTATATACTTATAAATATAAGATGAATTTTTTTAATTGCCACTTTTTTATCATTTTTTTTAGTATATTACTATTAAAACTATTTTTTGTCATGTTGAGTTTTCATATATATCATTTCTCATCGTATAATTAATAAATCCACAACAGCATGTAAATTTTACCCTTTCAATTTTAAATCCTTTTGAATATTAAAGCTTACAAATGATAGAATGTCGTTTTTGAAAATACAATAATCTATGGTATTCAATAGACTTTCATTGCAATCACTAGGTATAGAATAGAGGTACATTGTAAGGACATAAATAAAATCATAAAGTTTTGTTGTTTTCATTTGTTTTTCATTTGTTATTTTTTCACATAAAAAATACATTTACACGCAAAATTATTGATTAGCGATAAACAAAAGGTACGAAAAAGTTTTTTTGCTCGACGGGCAGAAAGCGTCAAATTTCGGCCCGCTGCGCTAAACGAAATTGCCACTTTCTGCCTTCGTCGAGCAGAAAAATAGCATACACTCCTCGGGAAGTAAATAAGAAAGCCTCAGATCACATGTTTGTTGACCTCGGCTTCGCCTCGGCCAACAATTACATGTGATCTGAGACATTTCTTACTTTACTTCCCTCGGTGTGTAATATACTATTAATTGTCGCTAGCTTAAACTCATCTATTTGTTAAATATTTACTTTTAAAATTGACTTGTTTTATTTTTGTTAAAAAAAAAAAATAATTAACAAAATTGACCTATTTTCTGTATAATTATTTTTTTAAAATATATATCATACAATAATTTTTATCAAAAGTTAATAAAACTATTATTATAGCACTAAAAGACTTTAATCAACTCCCCCAAAATATGAAAATCTTAAACTGCTCAAATAAAAAATTTCAAAAAAAAGATCAGTATTTTGATAAGCGCTAACACTCTTTACTCCACATGCGATTGCTGTTTGTTTGTTTATACTTCCAAGAGAGTAACAGGTATTTTATCGATTAGTTAGTGTGTATTATGTAGGTATATGCCGTTTATACGGCTGCGCTTTATCCTAAAATTTTAGTTGAATGAAAGCTGTTGCTTTTTCTCTTATTATTACATTTTCCGTATCCTTTCACTCCTGAACCATGACCTAGACTCAAACCCTTCTATTTCTATCTGTTCTAATTCTACAGTATCTCATTCTAAATTCTACAGTACCCTTTTTGTAAAGGAATAATATGTGCATAATCTCCTGCTTAATGGTACAGCAATGTAATAGACAAATAACTTTAATATAATATCTATCTATATAGTTAGCTTATCAGATACTTACTAGTATTATCAATTTTAATGAATAGATTATTCAAATGCTTAACTAATATCTATGACTGCTCATTGGTATGATCTTAAAGTTATAATGACAACTCTTACATATGTCTACAAATCAAATTAATTATAATTTCAATGTTCACTCAATTTGATAGTGATTTTATTATAGCCCTTTATTTACGGTATAAGAAACAATTGATAATATATGGTATTTTCTAAAAAATTTTTATCTCGATCAAAATTATGAGTGGGTGATAATGCTCTATGTTAAGGTAGGTTAGCACCTTGGAAGACTAAAAAATACAACATTTTCAATAATTTTTCTTTTAGGCCCCGTATAAGATATTAACTAATGATTTTTTTAAAACTTTTATTTGAAGCTTACAAAATAAAAAAATACTTCTTTTTTTTTTTTAATTTCATTTTTTAACATTTACCCAGGAGGCGCAAAAGTCGAGGCCTCAAAAAAATTCTGTTCCACGGTAGACATATAATCTCAGGATTGGTGAACATCAAAAATAAAAAAAACACGGCATCTTCAAAAGAAAGGTCCTCTATGAGACAATCTACCACAATTTGCAAAAAAAAAAAAAAAAAAAAAAAAAAATAAGAAATATATGGCGGGTATTTGAAAAAAAAAAAGTAGAAAAAATACTCCTGTTTTTCACTATTTTTTTGCTTAAAAAGAATATTATTACATGATTATTACTTTATTATTTACTCTTCAAAGGATATTTGTTGGAGCGGGCAAATGAGGAAATACTTCTGTTTAACGCAACGTTTCACAATTATTTATTTCTCTCTCAGGCGCTCTGTAAACAATAATAATATGATACATGTAAGCTAAAAAAGAATGTTATAATTAACTTATTTTTGACAAAATACGGTCGATTGGCTTACAAAACATCTTAACGAACAAAAACAAAACCAAAAACATTGAAATCGGTTCAGTAGTTTCAGACAATAACTGTCCGCCATTTGAAAAAAAGTAGTTTCGAGAAAACATGTTTAACGTTTTTATTCGCTGTTAAGAGCTATGTAGAACATGCGCACATTTCCCAAATTTTACTATGTTAGAATTCGAATTTTTGGAAAGGAATTTTTTGATTTTTATGATGATTTTTAAAAGTAGAATAATTGAGAAAATGCAACAAAAAAAATCGATTTTTTTTAATTTACAAGGTGGTCACCTACCGTAATTCAATTTTATGTTATATGTCAATCTACTAGACACGCATTACGAATTTGCATTCATTTAAGATGAAATGGACCCAATTAGATTATATCCCTGTCTTAGGGAGAGCCCGTCAAACTAATTGACAAATCAATTAGTTGATTTTCTGACTACATTATTTACATCATGAAATTTCAAATGATTTAATATTTCACATTAATTTAAGCGAAGTTCTCGCTTCTGAAGCAAGATTTTTTTAATTCCATTGTTGAATAAAACCTATGCTCTATTGTTATATTAATCTAATTAAGCTCATGGTGCAGTTTTATAATTTCAGAAGCTTTATATTTTTATTAATATAAAATATCCTATTCTAAAAACATTTTGTTTAATTATTTTGGGAATTGGAAATTATTTTTATTCACATACAACAAAAAAGAGCTTTCTTTCACCATTCTGATAACGGAAGTATTTGATGAATAAAAAAA